CTGAAACCTTATCTCATTGACACCTCGTGATCACACAGACCGGTAAATCAGGGCTTTTTTGGTTGCACACTGTTACGCTATCTTTTCAGAACCTCTCAATAGAAAGCTTGATTAACAGCCTGACCCGGTGGAACAAACTCCAAATGCACTTCAAGTTGACATTTTTATCCATTCTGGAAGTTGACGAATGTCCAGAACAAGATTTTTCATCAACTGACATTTCACCTTTTTAGAAACGAGAAAACCACTCGTACACTTGAGTCTTTCCCTTGGCGTTGTCCTTATAACCTGTGTTCAACATCACAACAGTCTCTGTGGCATTTTTCCTGAACAGGAAACAAAATTTTACAGTTGCATGCTGCTCTCTTAAATTGGTCATCACAAAAGACTAGGTTCGAGCGAAACTGCTTTCATGAAAAAATTCACTGTGACCAGAGAGAACCTTCCCAGGCGATGCCACTGGGTGCACTAACTTAGAGCGAGTTGCTTGATGCTCGCCTAGTGGGAAAAATGCATACTATGAAAGCTCTGCTTTTTTTTGGTGGGGGGTACCCTCGTACATATCTTCAGTGACCATTTCACAAAGGCAAGTATTGAACCGGGCCACACTGTAAAAAACAAGTTGTTTTTAGATTCAAATGATGAAGTGCAAGCTCAAGAGGACCACTTTAAAAAATACAGATTCCTGGGCTCTTGGTTGGTCCAGAGTAGAAATCAGTAGGTGTTCCGAGATGTTTGCATTTTAAACAAATGCCAGAGCGCTGTTGATGTTTGCTTCCACGCACTATGCTTTGCAGAAATCAGTCTACCGGCAGAGATTTCTGATTCAGGTTTTGGTAAGCACTTGAGAGATCTGTATCATTTAACTAAAACAGTGGTTTTCAGGGTTGAAAAATACACTTTAAGGGAGATGTGAGTCTGAAGTTCAATATCAAGAAGTAAGTTGCACTTCTGGTCCTAGCAAGGAGGAAGTTGAGACCAGCAGTCACTTTTCCCAAACACCCACCAAAGCCGAGAATGCCAAGAAACAGAATGGCACTCAAGTCCAGACAATAGGGTGCAACAACCTGCCGAGAAAACCCACGGCTAGACTCGTGCTGGGTCCAGAAGTGACAGGTAGAAGAAGCGGTCACAGACAGGGATGTGGAGAAAGCAGCCAAACGTTCAACGAACTTTTAATGGTCACGTATGGTCTGATACAACAGACTGAAGTTCTTACCTGTGCCACGGTTTCGTATGCCAAGTACGCTAAAATTTCCATCGCCACAGCGTTGGGCTTTATCTCCAGACTGCTGCAGTCCAACCAGTCTCGGAATTTGGAGGCCTTTTTGGCTAACGTTAAAAAAAAAAAAAATTGTTGCAAATGTAACTTTTCAACAGTGCCTTCAGATTCCATATAACGTCCATAAAATGAAAACGGCTCGCTGAACCCGGAAGGTGAAAACTGCATGCAGAATGTGCCGTTTTCAACATGTGATTCATCCCTCACTACGTGAGCCCCAGGAAATGAGCCCTAACCCTCCCTTATGGATCTGGGTCCTTGATTTTATAGCAATGTTTACATCAATATCTCACTGCTTATTCAACCACCTCAGGCTTCCCATGCTTCCCATGCTTCAGAACAGGTCCTAGTTGGTCACAGCGTGTGGAACAACCAGGAGAAAGAGGCGTTCTGCTCCAGCAAAGACAACAGTCTCAGCAACCCCAGGGCGGTTCTCTCTACCCCGTCTTGTAAGGTCGCTAAGAACTGGGATAGATTTTAACAGTGATCTGAAGGGTTAGTGTGCTGGAGGCAACTTTAATTCTTGTGGAAAGAAAAGACTGCAAGACAGAAACTATCATGACCAAAAGAAAATACAAAAACTGGATGT